TCTTAAGGCTTGGTCTTGTGCAGCCAGAAGTAGCCCCTCTGTCTCTTTCTTCAACTTTCCTTTGCCTTGCCATGTCTCTTTTCTATTCTTCTTTTGGTCTTTCTTGTAGGCCAGTTTGGTCTCTTCAGTATTCAGTAAGCCTTCATGGTATACTAGCTTCCGTGCATCTTCTTCACTGTCCTTCAGATAGTGCATCTTCTTCACTGTCCTTCAGATAGTGCATCTTCTTCACTGTCCTTCAGATAGTGCATCTTCTTCACTGTCCTTCAGATAGTGCATCTTCTTCACTGTCCTTCAGATAGTGCATCTTCTTCACTGTCCTTCAGATATTCCTCCAATGCCCTTTTTTCTTCTTCAACTGTCTGGTGCCCTTTTTTATTCTTCCAATGCCATTTCTTCTTCTTCTGAAGAAGGAGGAGGAGGAGGAGGAGGAGGAGGAGGAGGAGGAGGAGGAGGGCAGTTGTTGTTTGATGGTGATGGTGATGATGATGATGATGCCCAACTCTCAATGACTCTGGGCATTATGCTATGATGCTAAGCTTGCTCAGGTATCTATGGGGAGTGATTTTCAGATTTTCTTATAAGTCTTTTGAAAGTCCCAAGAAAGAATGTCTTCTGGATATGCTATCCACATAATACCAAGAAACTCTTTAAAAAGGTAGCAATCGTTATTCTATGCAATCACTTACAGCTTAGCAAGTCTGTGAGACAAGGCGCATGCAAAGGGCTCTAAAATTCCAGTGTGAATGACAGAGTCTTAGGCAGAATCTATTCCATCCATGCTGGCTGGCTCCAGACCAGCCAAAACCTAAACCTCAGTGACATGAAGGAGCTGCAGTAAATCTCAGGTTTCTATAACACCTCCATCCCACTCCAACCTGAGTTTTCTTCTATTCTTGTGTACCTTTAGTTTGTCATATTGTTCAGAGTTACTGTTAACAACCTGTTTTTAAAAGGAAGTCAATCAAGCCACAATCACTTTCCTGCTATCTTTACATCTTCCAACAGCCAACCAAGAGCCATCCTCTGTCACCAAGTTGTCATCTTCTTAGGTAGATGATACCTGAGATCAAAGCTACATTTCTGCATGAAGTGGGGTTAGGGTATGGTTAGGGTATGTGGAATTTCATTTCATGGGAGCACCACTTGCAATCCCAACAGGTACAGGCCCAATCATTCCATGTACTCTTTATGAGAACTAAGGTTCTAACATAGTTGTACAGGAGAAACTACTGAGAAACTGCTCATATGTGGACAGAGCAATAGTTCTCTTTCTGTCAAGCTGCTTCTTAACAGCTTGTATTTAAGACATGCCACTCATGGTCCTAAAGATAGCAAACTGTCATCAAGATTAGTAGTCGCTGATCACTTGATCCATGAGTTTGACCTTCCTCCTCTCAAAATCATCTAAACTGATGGCCATCTGACAAAGGCTATCACCAGTTTACCTTGTTCAATTTAATCTTACATGTATGAGGATTAGAAATGCTTGACCTTCATCCCATTGAAGTTGCAGGCAAGCTATTAATCATATGTAACATCCAGTTGTCCCAGATGTGGAGGTACTCTTCTCTATTTCCATCAAACATTATCTGTCCATTCAGTTCAATGGGATTTGAATGAATTCTTCAGTGAGGCACAAAAGACTGCTTTGGATCTCTTAATATAGAAGTGCTCAACTTAAATTTGATGGTGGGGGGTGTTGTTTCCAGTTTTCACACCCAAACTTTTAATGCATCTGACGCAGATGTATATGCCATTTTTTTCAATCCACATCAGTTATTTGTGGAAGTAAGTTGTTCCTTGTAAAATCCCATGATGATATAGAGCAATTAGGCCCTTTTCAGGCAAAAGTGTTTTTCCCAGTAAAAGAGCAATTGATAATTGCTTGTAGCAGACATCTAGAAACTTTTAAGAAGAAACATTTTTATAAGGGACATCGGGTCTTCCCAGCACTCAAAGTATGGTATTGTGTGAAAAAGAAGATTTTTTCCTCCTCCAGGCCTGATGTCCATTGCAGTTGTGAATACTCTGTGGAATGTGATAATGTGTCAGGGATATCTCAGCATGACCTAAACTGGAGCCTCTTTTGGGTGTGAGACACAGCAATGGCGTGGTTTTCCAAAATACGGTTTCTGCTTAGTAAGCACATGATAAATAACACAGCAAATATCTGCTGTGCTGAGAATATGAGCACAAGACACACATTGGGTAAGCATGGACAAATGAAGGAGGAAGTCCCACATGTTTTGTGTGATTTACACCATTGCACCTGAAGGCATCAATCAGTTGTTTGTTAAGATTGTCTGTTTATATGGTTAGTTTAGTTTTTGTCTATAAACGGGGAAGGGAAGGGAAGGGAAGGGAAGGGAAGGGAAGGGAAGGGAAGGGGAGGGAAGGGAAGGGAAGGGGAGGGAAGGGAAGGGAAGGGGAGGGAAGGGAAGGGAAGGGGAGGGAAGGGAAGGGAAGGGGAGGGAAGGGAAGGGAAGGGGAGGGAAGGGAAGGGAAGGGGAGGGAAGGGAAGGGAAGGGGAGGGAAGGGAAGGGAAGGGGAGGGAAGGGAAGGGAAGGGGAGGGAAGGGAAGGGAAGGGGAGGGAAGGGAAGGGAAGGGGAGGGAAGGGAAGGGAAGGGGAGGGAAGGGAAGGGAAGGGGAGGGAAGGGAAGGGAAGGGGAGGGAAGGGAAGGGAAGGGGAGGGAAGGGAAGGGAAGGGAAGGGAAGGGAAGGGAAGGGAAGGGAAGGGAAGGGAAGGGGATCATGAGCCAGTTTAGTTGTAGCGGTTAAGGTACCAGGCTAGAAACTGGGAGATCATGAGTTCTAGTCCCACCTTAGGCACAAAGCCAGCTGGGTGACCTTGGGCCAGTCCCTCTGTCTCAGCCCTAGGAAGAAGGCCAGGACAAACCACTTCTGAAACACCTTGCCAAGAAAACTGCAGGAACTTATCCAGGCAGTCCCCAGGAATCAATACTGACTAGAAAGGAAAGGAAAGGAAAGGGAAGGGAAGGGAAGGGGAGGGGGAGGGGGGGGGGGAAAGGAAAGGAAAGGAAAGGAAAGGAAAGGAAAGGAAAGGAAAGGAAAGGAAAGG